CCTTGGGCTACGCCCCACGGGCTTGTTTTTATTAACTCGCTTTCTTGCAAATTTTGATACTTCCCGATGAGCTAGAGACTTGAAATTTGAAACATAGCTCACAAATGGATGACAATGCAATATTATATAACTTAATTTTCATATTTCCCTTGGGCTACGCCCCATTTGCTTGTTTTTATTAGTTCGCTTTTCTACAAATTTTGATATCAATTTCAAACGAAGTTCCCGATGAGCTAGAGACTTGAAATTTGAAACATAGCGCACAAATGGATGACAATGCAATATTATATCATATATCTTCATATTTCCCTTGGACTACGCCCCATGGGCTTCCAGATTTTCCATGTTTACATTTTGAAAGAATGTAAACATATAAATTAATTTTAGTCAGCTGTAAATACTTAAATTTGACAGTTCAAAGGGCAGAAGTTAAGAGGTACAGGTTATGCTCCCAAGAGATTCTTTTCTCAAACAAACATTTCAAAATAAAGATAAGCAATCTGATTGCAGATATAAAGGTGTTTGTTAATAATGTCAATGGTATTTATTTCGTATTCTATAAAGTAAACAATAAATAAAATATATTGATATATTTATAGTTTGTAGGTAGGCCATACATTCAATCTAATACATAATTACATGAAAATAAACCTTAGATTTCCCACATGCCTCTGTCTTAATCTGATATAGATGCTTAAAATAGATATAACATCCACACACATTAAAAACTAAAAAGTAGAAAATAATTTATAAATATGTGGAGAGTATGAATACTTGTAAGATTTAAAACGAAAAGCGTTGGGTGCATGAAGTTGATAATAATACATTAGTTCAATAGATGAAGGTAATTGTAAATTATCCATTGCATGCACCCCACGTTTTTCGTTTTAAATCTTACAAGTATTTTATACTCTCCACATATTTATAAAATATTTTCTACTTTTTAGTGCGTTTAAAAACGTTTTATAAATTATTAACCGAACATCTTGAAAAACACATTGCAGGCTAACGTTTTTCTAATTTATTTTTTACTATAGTTAAATGTTCTTTTTCATTAAATAAAATTTGGTTACTCACTACCTAGTTCTGGATTTTAATTGAATTAAATTAATCTGTTGGGAATTAAATTTAAATTTGGAAACCTAGGACTTCTTGTATGACTTAAAATGCGGATTATATTAATTTATTCCATGCATTCTCTTTTTTTCTTGATACAGTAAAGTTAAGTTTCTTACTGTACAAATATTTAATGTTTTAACAGCACAGATGCGAGATATAAAAAGAAATATTGGTGACAGATCTCAATGTTACTTCAGTGTTTGTATTTCTATATTTGTTCAAATGTACAAAAAAAATCCAATAAGTTATTTTATTTACTGATGAAAAGTTAAGTTGTCTGGTATTAATAATTCTCAGTTTGGCTATTAAACAGTCTTAAATTTATTTGACTGTAACCTCCTACAGGTGTTAAATAGAAACAGTTCTTACTTTACACAAAATATATATTTCGAACATAGTTGTCATAGTACGAGCTTTGCAATGGGAAGGGCTTTATATGAAACAGTTCCTTTGTTACGTAAAATATTTTCCAACATTAATAATCCTATAAAAGGCATTGCGTCCACGTAGATGAAATTCAGTGAAAATGAACGATCGGAAACAATAAAAAACTTTTAAAACAAACCCTTAAATATTTATAATGTAACGTCAATTATTTACCGTTTGATAAGGCATTTTGAATAATGCACAAATAAATCTATCTTCAAAGTTATAAAAATTACAACAACATTCTTTGTCTTGCTATTATTTGATTCAACTAGTTAGTTATTCTAGTAAGATATTTTAGGTAAAAATTAAAATTAAAGATTTTTCTTATTGTGTGAATTTAGAACGTTTGTAATTAGTTTGATAAGAAGAATTTAAGCTCAAATCTGTTATGCCATGTCACTGTTAAAATATTTTAGAAGCTATATCTTATGATAAGTCTAAACCTAATTTAGCTTAAATCTTGACTATAGTTAATTTGTTTCAGAAACAGGTTGTTTATAAAAAAATTACAGCTTTCCCATCATCATTCCATACTATAAAAGTTTTCTAAAACCCCACATGAAAAAGTGGCTAACCAAGTTTTAATCAGTAGCAGTTTTTAACCAATCACAATCCATTATTAGCACAATTATAATGAACTGATTGGTTTATATTGTTGTTTGGTTAACCACAACAAATAATTGATGAATCTCGTTTGCAACCGCAATGAAAGCTCGTATTAAACCTCAAATTTATTTGCCTCCTAGGTCAACAGATCCCCGTGACACTTGTTTGTAGGGATTCATCAAGGATCGCGTTGATGCCAGTTAAGTGAACACCAAAGAATAACTAAGAGAAAGAATCAGAACTCAGGGAAGAAAATGGTATCCTTATAATATTTCTTATTTTCGTTCATATTTTTTTTCATCCAAACTTGAATTTAGACTTAATTATTTGCAATAATGTAAAACACATAAATCTTAGCCATACACCTTACTGTATTGAGTACCTTGACTTGAAATTATTTCCTAGACTTTGATCGTTAGTTCATAGCTTTTAGGGTAAAAATTAAGGTTTTATGATTGTTAAAATTTGTGAAGTTTTTTTTTACTGTACTTTTACACTTTTTTATTGTGCAATAATGATTAAGACTCTAGTTTGTGCTTATATATCGTTAAAAAATTCAAAAACGTTGTTATTAACAGATTTGATCACTAAATATGCTTAAAAATAATTTTTTATGGATACTTATTCCGTCGGTTTTCTAATTTTTGTCAGTATCTTTAAGCTTTACCATTAACTTAATTAATGACATAACATAGATTATTATACCTAAGACTATTCGTTTTACCATTATCTCTCATAGAACGACGACTTTTGCACACGCACAGGGTTATATTTTTGCAAATTTGTGTAAAAAAATAATAATAATTATAGTTTGAAAGGTTAAAATTAAGGTTTTGGAATATTTTTGGATATAAATTTGTAAATTGTCATGTAGTCCAATGTGTATAAACGGATTATATTGATGGAGGACTTAAGCCACAAAGATACGTTTCGGCTGAAAACTACCTTAATGAATCACAAAACTTTGTTTTCTAGTCCGATCAAGTTGTGATGGCGGTTTCACTGTTCTATATTCAGAACTATAATGAATCCTTATGTGAATCTTTAGCAAATAAGCTTTTCCAAATATTTCCAATTCACTAAAAGAACTATTCACAGGAGGTGACCTTTTTTATTTTTTGAACTCTCTCAGTAAAAGTGTTACTTAATTCTCGAGGAAAAAAGGGTTAGGTTTGCAAATCAGTTAAATAAATTTTTTTAGGAATATGTAATGTTATTAAATCTAAATACTCAAGAACCAATGTCCTTAGTGTTAAAAATCTGCTTTATTAAATTATTATTTGCTAGTGGTATTGTGGTAATTACCTCTATTTTATTTTAAAATCAACAAGCATATTTCTTTCTCTTGAAGTTTTAGTTTGACGAACATTAAATCGTCTTACGTAGAACGAAGATTTGCAACAAGAAAATGATATTCATTCTTTTTCAAAGAGCTTTCTTAAACCTTCAACGACAAAAGAACTTGGTTTCTTAAAATACATATTGTATTCATATTTATTTTTCAGCAGAGTCATTGGATGATTAAGACCAACCACGTTACAGTTTTAATTTTCTTTTTACTGCTGTTTCTAGAAAATTTTAGTATATTGGACGAATAAATATTTTTTATTTGTCCTTAAATAAACATTAAACTTGACACTTCAGACCTAGTTTGTACTGGAGATGGACACAGGTCATGCTGCTCTAGTGCTGGAAAGACAACATAAAGTTAAAAAAACACCCGTTTGTATTTGTTGTTGTTTAATTTAGCCAGCTCATTGTAGTTTGTAATGTATGACTCCATTTAATTTGTGAATAAATGTAAAAAATCCTGAACACCTTTTTGTTAGGATTTTACTAGTGCTAAATTTGTGAACCATGATCGAAATATAATATAATCGTTCCTGTAGAATGTGGTTGTTACTACGTTTTTCTCAATTTTACGGTAATTTCGTTGCCGTTGTCTACCCTTTTAATCTTTTTGATATTATTTGTCGAAGGTACTGTTTAGAAATACTCAAATTATTCATCTGCTTTTTAAGCCTAAGCTTTTTCAGGCTCTGCATTTTCTAGCCTCAGTTTCTTCAGGCTCTGCATTTTAAGGCTCTGTATTTTCAGTCCCTGCATTTTTAGCATCCGCCTTTTCAGCATCTGCGTTTTTAGCATCTGCTTTTTCAACCTAGGCATCTTCAGACTCTGAATGTTCAACCTCAGTATCTTCAGGCTCTACATTTTCAGCATCTGCATTTTCAGCCTTTGCAATCTGCTTTTCAGCATCAGCTTTTTCAACATTTGCTTTTTCGGCATTCGCTTTATCAGCCTAAGCTTCTTCAGGCTCTGCATTTTCAGCCTTTGAATTTTTAGCATCTGCGTTTTCAACTTCTGCCTTTTCAGCCTATGCATTTTAAGCATCTGCTTTTCAGCATCAGCCTTTTCAACATCTGCTTTTTCGGCATCGCCTTTTTCGGCATTCGCTTTATCAGCCTAAGCTTCTTCAGGCTCTGCATTTTCAGCCTTTGAATTTTTGGCATCTGCGTTTTCAACTTCTGCCTTTTCAGCCTATGCATTTTAAGCATCTGCTTTTCAGCATCAGCTTTTTCAACATCTGCTTTTTCAACATCTGCTTTTTCGGCATCGCCTTTTTCGGCATTCGCTTTATCAGCCTAAGCTTCTTCAGGCTCTGCATTTTCAGCCTTTGAATTTTTAGCATCTGCGTTTTCAACTTCTGCCTTTTCAGCCTCTGCATTTTTAGCATCTGCATTTCCAGCCAATGTCTTTTCATCAGTCTCTACATATTTAACAAATTTTTCCCATCGATTTAGACAGAATTTGCTTTGGAGTGTTTTAAAAAGAAAACAATTACTTACGTGCAGAGGATGCAGAATGAAGTCTGATCGCTCGTTGAAGTCCGCTGAAGCTCCTTGCTGCTTGAACCTCCTGCTGAACCTGATGAGATTGCGGGTGATCATGGTGTTCATGACGATGATCAGAGCCAGCGGGACGATCAAGGTAAGGAAGGAGTCGATGATGTTGATCACTCTCATAGTCTCGTGGTAACCTTCCCTCAGATCACACACTCCTTGGCCGTTGATCCCGGCGGTCACAAAACTGTACGAATGAGTCAGTAGTGCTACCTGTACAAGAAAATAATAATTGAAAAAAATGTTTTAGATTTCTTATGGCTATTACTGGACCATGTTTTTCCATACGGTGAAGATTCTTCTCGCTACAACGACATATTTTGTTTATAAATTAAAATATAGCTGGGTAGATAAAGCTGGGTTTTCCTAGGCGCGGAAGCGGAGAGCGGAATTTAAATTTTCATGGCATTCCGCTCTGCTTCTAGGAAAACAGTAACATTATAAACAGTAATATTTGGCTGGGTAGCTGAGTGGTTATAGTGCTCGCCTGGTAATCAAAAGGTCGCCGGTTCGATCCTGAGAAAAGTCAGTAGCTTTTTGATGGTTCGAAACTGGACCCAGCTGTTCCTGATCATTGGGCTTTAAATAAACGATCCTGACTAATGAAACCGCTGATCTTAGTCAGTAACAAAGCTACACAGGTCATCACACACCATTCTACACTCATCCTTCACTCATATTTGGGTTAAAATACGTACCTAGGTGGCGTCCCCATCTCAATGATTGATTGATTGATAATTGATAATTGATAATTAAATTGCCTAAGACAAGTGGAGTCCGCTCTCCGCGTTCCTCTCTCCGCTCGCCGATTCCGCGCCTAGGAAAACCCGGCTTAAGTGACTCTAGTTCATAGAAGGTTGCACAGAAGGCTTGACTGGATCGGTTCTAAAATTATAAGTTTCAAATGGTTTGGACTAAACTGTCCTTGATCATCACGCATTTAATAAATGGCCCACGCTAAAGAAATTACTGGTCTTGGCCAGTTATTAGTAGAAGTTAATCATCCAATCCATAGTTCCTAGGACAAAAGTCTGTCTCTAACCACTATACTCTGTATGATAGAACTTGTCTTCTGATCCTCCATCTACCTGGAATGACTCGGGCCCTTAACCATTTCTAGGTGAACCTAGGATTAGAAGACGAATTCTATCATTAAGAGTATATATCTCTCAACGTTGAAGGTAAAATAATCAGTCATTAATAATAGACTTAGTAAGCGTTTCTCAGCCATATAAATTCTGCTTTGCAGTTAAAGTAGTTTTGATATTTTCTAAACACAAGTGGGACTAAAACATTATGAAAATTACTTAATTTCTGAAATTACTAAACATGTCATAAGGGATAGTTGTGAAAATGTTAAGTTATGAAAAGATGGTATGCAGGGCATGACGTTGGATTTATTGTTTGACACCAGGTATTAATGTGCGTTTCACTCAGGAGGTATTCGTTCTATTTTTTTTTATTGAGTTTTAACCATCAATAATGTTCAAGTTAGTCTTACTTACCAGAGTCAGAGAGAATACAACAGTCTTGGCCCGCGCGACGGTACACATGTGAGGTCGATGTAGGGGATACTGCACTGCGATGAACCTGGCATCATAAATACGTGTTAAATTCTTGTAAAATCTAAAGTTTTTGTAATTATTCTTTGGAGTGCACCAGTCTTTTGATACATAGAGACATCCCAAATGGACAGGCTGTTTCCAGTTTCTTACTCAAGAGAAAAACAATTGAATAAGTTTCTTTTTTAGGAATAAATTCAGTAACGTATATTTTTAATAACCTAGACATTTGTTAGGTCAATAGGTCAAATTCTGAGTTTGTAAATGATATGGTCTGTTAAAATTAAATTAAATATTAACTTTGTTAAAATTGTCAAATTGACATAACTTTTCCAATCTCTAATAATGGTACACAACTTTTTGCTTATATATAATTATTTTGTATTTTTATCCGCCGTCGATTAACTTGCTCTCACCATAATTTGACAATGAAGGTTTAAAAACTAAGTTTACAGTTTGACTACCCATGTGATAACACTGTACTTCGTTGCTAGTCTTAGTTTTCAACTGATACTACTCTTGTTTCTGGTAATTTGATATTTCAACCGCTCCAACTGAGTTCTCAATAAATGTCACAAGACTCACAACTGACGATTTAGTTGGATGAGAAAATACCTTCCCCATTAAAATTATAGTTGCCAAAAGCATTGACTGAACAAAAGCCTGCTTTAAAACCTTGATACTAAAATGTTTTATATTGTTTATTTTAATTAAGACCATGTTAAATAGTTGTAAGTTTAGTTTTATCCTTTGTTATAATTATTACTGTTGAATTTTCCCTTTGGTATATTAAACTGTTGAATTTTATTAGTATTTTATAAAAATAGTCTTTTTTGTTAACGATTTTCAAACGTATTTAACATAAAGGAAAGAGACGACTTTTATAAGGACAATTTGATTTATTACGAAGCTCCTGTACATTCAACCTGTAATGTTCTGTACCTTTTGTGCCAACAAATATCCTTCATAATACCTTTCTCAAGTCAAACACGCGGAATTTCATGCCCTTAGTGAGCACGCTAGAGAGAAAAAATATTTAAGTATTCTCAACGGTTCAATGTTAATTATTTCAGATGATATATATTTACTTGTTAGTCCAGTTTTTTCAAAGTATTCAGAGTTATTTATTCTTCTTCGTTTCTATTTAAATTTTTCCTGCAACACTTTGACACATCTTCTTGAATAATTTATTTATTTCCTTCGAGGTTTAAACTTTTTTCTTTTTAGATACTTAATATAACTTAAGATAATTTTTACTGTACTATTACTTATATCCATAATATTTATTTTTAATACTTTTCCGTGTACTATGTGCTATTTTATTACTAACCTTTTTAATTCATAACATAATAATATTTCATAATCTACCCTTGACCCCTTTATGCAAATAAGGAATATTATTGTCCATTGAATACCTTTCTGTTACTTAATTATATTTAATTTAATTTTTACTTATAATGATATTTTATGATGTTTACAAAATTACTTTGTATATTAAATTAGCCCACATTGGTTGATGATTGTTAGTAAAGATCCATTTATTTCTTCGTCCTAATATTATTATGAGGCAAGGACTAGCTAAAATCTAGTCTATTATTTATATTATTTGAAATAAATTAGTTTTATATGTTTTGGGTCACGATATAATATTTATTACAGAAATTAAAAAGTATTAATTGACTTAACTACAATGTTATAAGATGTATGTGCTTCAGAAGTGGATTCTATGCCTAAGTGACATGAATTAATTTCTTTCAATACTTTATAATTGGGATGACAGATTATTTTAGACCCTTCTAGTCTTAGGAGGGGTGATCGTGCTGGTTCGAATAATTCTCGTATATTATAAATTAAAAAGACATTTTAAAGTTGATTGTTGTCAAGTGCAATGATGCAGTCCAACAATATGCAAGGGAAATGCTAAAAGGGTTCACTGAAGTGAAGAATTAGATTTATAATGAAAATTCAGTCTTTATATTTTTATATCAGTCTTATATTTTTTGGCGAATTTAAAAACAAACTCTGAAAGTGAATTTAAATGTGGGAAGAATATCATATAAAATTGTGTTAACACTGTCAGAAGCTGGAAGGAACGGGGAGAGGCAAAGGCTGGATAAATGGTTCACTTGTCCATTGTTTTGTAGTACAGCTGGTAAAGTTCACACGAAGTAACACTTTCCACAGTTATTTAGAATATCTTAAGACTAATATTGAAAAGGGATACTATATTATGTATAATGCTATTGAAACTTGCTTACAATAATATAATTATTTTAAATGCGTTATAATTTATTTTAATTATTGACAAATAATTGAAAAATATGGTGAGAATTGAATATTACGTTGTAAAACAAAAGGGATATTTTTGCGAGGAGATGTGATATTGTTTAACATTAAACAAATTGAAAGAACACATTTCAAAGGGAGATACGTTTTAAATGACTTGTAACATATTATTACAAGGTAATAACAAACATTGATGGAGAAAATATACAAAATCATAAGGAAATTTAATATTAATGGTGAATGAATTGTATGTAATGCTACATATGATCTTGGCCATTTGACCTTTTATCAGCACCTTTATACAACACCTTTGTTATTGTGTTATCTTTTACTTTTCTTAATTATGTGTTTCTAATATTTGTCCGTTTGTTGTATTATCCAATATTAATTACCTCTTCCATACCATAATTTTCTCTGTTCTTTTCTGTTTGCCTGTTCTTTACCTGACTTTTGGTAATCTAGTTAATGTCAGTACTTAACCTACTTCTTCACGTTATTAACCTTTCCAATATTATTCTTAAGATTTTATTTTTATTCTTAATTTATTTGTTCTATATTGTATACTCCACTATTTCTAACCACGTCTGAAATCTTCTAACATAAAGAAAAATTGAAATATAGTAAAAACCCAATTTTTAGCTTTATAAAATATTTTAAATCGGAAAATAAATTAAGGAGGACGTAGACAAACAAATATAAACCTAACCTTTTTTTATTTCAAATCTACTACACAACAGCTAACTTCTTCAGTCATTTTACTATCTTCTATAATATCTTTATACCACCATTTATACTACTACAGTTTACGAAAATAGATTTAAATAGGCTACCTTTTTATAAAATGCAAACTGAGTAGGTAAGTAAATGACTCAGTCTTTTTGGTATAGATCTTGATCTTTGAAAATTAACAGGGTGTTGCATTATAATTTTTTTCCTTTGGTATTAAGTTTTGATCGCTATTAATATTGCAGTTTGTCCATGGCTCTCTTCGTATAAATTTTCCCTTATACAGTTATACTGTACTCACGAGATTGTAAATGAAATATGTATAAACAAAATGGTAAGTGGTGATCGATTTCGAACATTGGCGAACATTTGCCTATTCGGTCTTATGATGATTGGATTGTCCAATCGATATTTATCACCACTTACCGTCCTTAAAATGTATAAAATATTATATGCATATTTAATTCAAGTGTTATTAGACGTATGCATATTTAATTTTTTATTGTTGACTCCAAAACGGAACTTATTTATGTTTATTGCCTACATAACGATTACTAACCTCTTTTATCTAGTACTGAACATATTTTCGTTTATTGCTTACTTTACTGTCATAACATTACCCTCTTCAATACTAAAACTTTACTAATCAGTCTAAAGTCTATGTAATATAAACTTTACCATAACTAAACCTTTTTACTGTATTTTCACTTTTAGTACACCGAGTAAATACGCAAGATAGGTTATAATTTAATACTATTTTAATATTGTATTTGTATATCAAATAGTGGCCCTAATCACTATAATATGCATGATTTATACTAATATAATATAGTATTAATACTAACCTTTCGACTGTGAACGCCACTATTAGCCAGACGCTGAGGAAACTGCAAACGCTGCTGAGATACACAAGGCCTTGGCACCAACCATCTTTGTTGAATACCTGCACCAAATAAACTCATATCTTTAATCAGAATAATGTTAAAGTTCTTTTGTTACTACGCAATTAGTTTTTAGCGAACTTCTTTGCGCTGAAACTGAATGCATTTTTTACTACGTAGACATAATAAATACAAACACAATATAAGTCAAAATGCGACGTTATATCAAGCGTTTTTATCTGATATACAAGAAACAAAAAGAAAAACAAACATTGAAACTGTTAGTGTGTATTGAAAAGAATTGATTACAAAAAATATACGTCTAACTATAATACTCGTAGTTAAGATAAATCGTTTAATGGAATTCAATTTGTAGCAGCTAAGCTATTTTAGTCAAAGGGAACATTGTGGTTATCCGATAACCATGAAAATACACAACAACTCCAAAAAGTTTATTACAAAGACAATATCATACCCCTTCCCCCCAAAGAACAAAGATAATACGTTTTTAGGAATCGAATTTATAACATACAAAGTTCCATCAAAGGGAAACTTTCAAAGGAATTGTATATTTTTATTCGGCACCTCTATGTTGTAGAAAACTGACTTTAGTGTTCACCTGTGATATCAAGTATGTTCTATGTGTAAAATAATGAATACACTTAATTACGAAATACAATTTTTAATATGTTAAGCCTCTGGATCACGTTTCGTGACTTATCTTTTTCCGGCTACACCACGCATTCTACCGTTACCGTATCAGTATTAAAATTGGCAAATTTTTTAAAATATGTAATGTTTTCGTTTTTCGTGTGTTTAACGACTCTTCCCAGTTATGAAGAGGATTTGACTGGATTATCTTTTAACTGGATTGACTGTCAAACCTGAGTCGCTGACCTAAACTAGGACCACAGACAGTGCTACAGGTATTTAACCTTTTATTATTACATTTTTTACTTTATTTAAAAATTATGTTTTAGTATAATTTAATCTATATCCCTACTACATAAAGACTTGATAGAGACTAAATCAGTCAAAGAGTAAATTATAGCGTTCTCAAACACGTGTGGAAAAAAGTAAAATTCCTTCTTTGATGAAAATTAATTTTCATGGAACGCGTGTCAGAAATGTCAAGTTAGTAGGCTGCTAACAAGCGCTTTCAAAGGGAAACTTTGCATATTTGTCCTCGAGACATCAGATGGATTTTTACTTAGGTAATTTGAGATTTAAATACCCCCGCCGCAGCAAACCTGCCGACTAAGCGAATTTCCATTTGTCTGAATTGATTTTCAGTTAAATATATTTTAATAACATTAGGTTTAACGAGTACCTAGGTTTGCTGCTACAAGGAAACTAATAAAGTGTGTTTTTGAGTAAAATATTGATAGCGTAGTACAAAATAAATAAATTTGCCAAGTTTGATCAAAATATATCCATTAACAAGCAAACTACAACATATGACAATATTCCCCATAAGAATAACATGGGAATTTTAAATTTACAATTTTTTAAATTTTCTCCGTTACTAATAATCGAACAAAAATTCTTTTATATACTAAATTATTTGTTTTTTAAGCTCTTTAAAAAGGTCTATAAAGAAATTGGGAAATTTTGTGTTTTGAGGGTCAAAAGTGAGAAAAACCAATTTTTACCCCATAAAACCCCCCGTAAAGCCCCGTTCCCATGGTCCGATCATGCTGGTTCGCGAACTCATTCAAGTTTATCCCGCTTTACACCTTTAAACCAAATTTCATCAAAATCGGACAAAAATTACTCAACTTATCGCGTTCACGGACGTTTATATATATATATATATATATATAAGTCTATATATATATATACATATATAAAAATTTGAACGAATAGTGTTTTTGGCCTCTGGGGACATCAAAATGAAAAAGTAAATCGGTCCCGGGTCTAGGTCTTACCGTGCCAGCTACGGTAATAGCTACTTCCCTATAGGGAAATTCGCTAAAAGCTACAATCTATTTAAATGACTAGCTTTGACATTAAATGAGCCCTTTCATGTACTGAAGTAACACGTCACTAAACCTTTACTTGTAGTAACATTGTTTTAAAATTGCTTTAATTTTTGTTCAAGGAATAATATATTATCTTCGTCCCACCTCCAAGAAAAATTTAATCCAGTTTTTGAGGATAGGTGTACAAGACAGAAATAAGTGGTTTAAGTAACTAGTTTTTTTCACAACTTCAGAAAAAAATTATATTTATAACCGAAATGAATTCACAATTCAATTATCTCAAACTGTGGAAAAGAAAATGTATCCTCAGGTTGTTGTATTAGGGAGCCTGAAAAAAATCTATTTCTTATCACAATCATCCTTTCTTAGAGTTATGTTTGGGGTCATTGCTCCAAGGTAAGTTGAAAAAGCTCGGTTTAATAAATTAAGGATAATATTTTTTGCATATTTGTAATTAAAAGGTTGAAAATATAATATTATTGGTTTAAATTGTCCTCTTAAACTTAAACTTAAATAAAACAGTAAGTAAGTTCTTTAACACTTTAAAATATCTACAAAGCTTTTCTAGGAAAATATTAACCGTTTAGGAAATATACTTCCTTTTGTGTGTTATGAAGCATTATCATTATTTTACCGAACATACGTTGGATCCGGGCTTTTAATTGAATTAAGAGTTCAAGAATCCCACCAATATCGCTAATATTGTCAGGACCCTGTGGCAGATAACTAACTTAATTAACTCTGACAAGTATAACGACGAAGAGCAAGTGATAGATTGTCACTTTTCTTGATAAAATAAGATCAATTATTTCGAGCAATATACTTCCTTGTGAGGTTGAAAACCTTTTTGGAAAATTCAATATTCTTTCCATAAATATTCTTTTCTAAAATCTTTGGTTTTAGCCAGGCTGTTATTTATCTAACTTAATTAAATAACTAAATTTTTGAGGATTCTACCGAACGTAATAAAATAACGAAATGTTTGAGAATTCTACTTAACGTAATAAAATAACTAAATGTTTGGGAATTCTACCTAACGTAATAAAATAACTATATGTTTCAGAATTCTGCCTAACGTAATAAAAAGCTATAGGTTTGAGAATTCTGCCTAACGTAATAAAATAACGAAATGTTTGAGAATTCTACCTAACGTTATAAATTAACTAAATGTTTGGGAATTCTACCTATATTATATATTGTTGTTAATTTTGTAACTAAGCTATTGTGGTAATGGTGACGGGCTTGACGTCCCAACCACAGGTTGCTCCAATTACCAAATATGTTTGTTTCCCGCACAGGTTCTGTAACCTCAGGGCTTTATTGTTCGATAACATTATAATTAGTTAGATTTATGTTGTGAGTATTTGTGTTTTTTGTTTATATTAGCATAAATACAATAACATGTAATACTTATGTGCAACCTTAGTTTATAAAGATGTATTGTATTGTACCTATTGTATTTGAAAAGAGCAATAAAGAATTTTTCAATTCAAATGTTTAAGAATTCGCGATCTTATAAATTAATAAATTAATCTTATAAATTACGATGTATTACTTTGTCAATCTGGCTAAGGATGAAAAAATAATGGGCTAAGACGTGTAATTTCCTTAACTAAGTCCTTGCCAAACAGACAGCAAAGAGAGAACGCCAAACGATTTACCAATCAACTATCCAGAGAACACATTGTATGGATATCAATCTTGAAGTTCGCCGGTTCAATGCCAAGTAAAGTCGGTTCTGGATCAAAAAATAATGTCTTAGAACTGTTAAATGAGCTATCTAACAGACCGAATAAGAATATTATAACAAAAACCTAAAGAAACCCAACGGCAAAGAAAATAAAACAAAAAGTGTCACAACAAGTGTCTCATGTGATGTCATTTGGCAGCAAAAAAGGATCTGTTAAAATAAATGATCGTCGTTAAATGACATTGAAAACAACTACAGAGTTATTATTTATGGCAGACAATGAATCAGTGTCAAAATTGACATCGACATCTCTTTCAGTGATTAGTGATTCATGTCTGTTTAGTAATCACAAATTGTTCATGCACTTCGTGTAAAGTAGAATTTTCTTGTTGAATGAACACTCATCCTTTTTGATCTTCTAAGTGAAATACTAATTAAGTTAATCTTACACCACTATTAATTAGTTTTACAAGCTGCATAAAGGTTAAGCGCTAAACTTCCCAAAGTTTTCCTGGTTGCCTTAAGCTTGAACATTGATAATGCACTTCAATCTCAAGGAATGTTTAAATGAGATTAACATTCATCACTATACTGGCTTTAATACAGTTTACTTCTCGTAAGCTATTTTGGGTTCTAGACTGCATAACCTTGCGAGTCAAGTTATGCTTCAATAATCTTATAAATTTGATTAAATCAAACTTAATGTAGATTTCTTTAAAAATGTTGCTGTAAAAGACTGAGAGGAAAAAAAACTTAAAGCGTTAAATTTTTTAAATTCAATTATCAATTATCAATTAGTTAAGATGGGGACGCCACTATGTGCGTATTTTAACCCAAATATGAGTGAAGGATGAGTGTAGGATGAGTAGCGCGATCTTGTAGTCTTGTTAGTGACTAAGGCCGACATGTTCCTTAGACACAGCTGTTAATTAATAGCCCATACAGCTAATGGCAACTAAGGGACCTACAGTTTATAGTGGAATCCGAACCACATATTTCCTTGTAATTTACGAATTGGTCTAATTATCAGGATAGTACTGCGGATAGTCGTAGTACTCACTAGTGCGGACGTTAATCCACACCAGGGAGCATCGCATCCACAGTGCATCCCTATAAATATCCACAATTCGTGACCTCCTAGTAGCTGGATTACAGGACGACGCCACCCGTCCCAGTCGTGATAATGTGAATCCAAAATCTTTTCCTATAGAATTTGTTAAATCGTTTTACAACTAATCCCAAACTTATATCAGACTAGATGTTTTAATAAATATCTTGGTAAAACAGGCTGGATGTAATAATGTAATATTTACAAGCTAAGTCATATTGTGATGCTGAAAACAATATATCTGTTTAGCTGAAGGGCCCTTACACTTGTTTTACAAGCTATTGTTCATGGTTTACACAACATGTTTGTAATACATTTTACTTCGAACTACACACTTTGAAAAGCTTGTTTCAGACTCCAATAAAACCACAAAGGATTAATTGTGTTAAAATAACAAATCGTCTAAAAAAAACACATCTGAGTGCTGTGAAAAAACGTACGTTTTATCGAATGTTCAAGAATAATGTGGTCTTTTAACTGTGTTTTTTTTTACAATTCATATTTCTGATGTCATGTACTATCAATGAATTTACTTATTCACAAAGTTAAATTTTTACCTCAAGCATTTGTTACAAGGTAAACTGTTATTCATTAATATAAGTACTCATTAATTTAAATGAAAAGACATGTCAAAAATGTGATGGTATAAGATTATAACAAGCTTTATCAGTCAAAGGAAGAAGTTTTTATAAATTGTTATGATTGGAATCTGAGAGTTCAAAAAAGGTTATTTTAGCTCTAATAGCTTTGTGTTCTTGGAATCCAAAATGTAACATAAGTAGGTTGTAAATTACCTTCTTATTTCTCCAGTGCTTAAGTTACGCATCAAATAGCCTTTAGCTGTTGAACAATCTTACTAATATTTATAAATGTGAATGTTTGTGTATTTGTTTGTTTGTTTGTGTGTTTGAAGTTCAATCACGCATAAACCACTGGACGGATTGCTCTGAAATTTGGCATGATGATAGCTTACATTCCCTATTAACATATATGCATATTCTTATCTCAAAAATCCTTTCGGGCTCCGCCCCAGTGGGTCTGTGATTCCCCATGTTAACCTTATGAGTATTCATATTTAAAGGGAATTAAAGAATTTAGTCAGCTGTTTCAACTAAAAAAGTTGGTTCAGTGATATGGAAAAGCATTAAAAAGTTATAAGATTTACCTACAGGGTGCAGCACTATATTTTTTTGCATTTATGAAAACAGCTAATTTGAACTAAGCAGCAACAAAAAACTGTGATTCGCAATGAGAACTGTCAAAGTAGGATTGTTTACAGTTATGTTTATGTTTTCATTTAATGAATAATTTGTGATATTTTGCGAATTGTTGATAATTAATTTTTCTCTATTGTTTAGGTGAAGTGGTAGAACATTATGGCTATGGTAGATGTGTAATACTATAGAATACTGTAAATTAAAAAAAAAACAAATACTATCAAACTGTGTCCTCCCTTATTGCAAACGCAAAGCTTGAGTATAACTGCAATAAGCATTTTATACTTATATTCCAACCCCGTACGAAGGACGGGTATTCTGCTAGTCATTTATGAATTACTGTTGCAATTTATCTCTAGATAAAAGCATTTTCCCCCCATTTCCTCTTAGATTATGAGAAATGAAAATTATGTATTTAAACAACTTTTGTATCCGTAACTACAGTTATAATATATCTATGGACAAAATTTATTTTTATTATTTGATTTTGTTTATTTTGTTGTGTCATGACCTATTTTTACAGATTTTTATTTTAAGCGATATTAAAAATATGTTTGCGCACGTTTGTAAATTGATACTCTACCAAGCTTCGTGCTTAACAAAGTTTGCTTTAGACTTAATACCAACGGATTTCTCGTCTCTAAATACAACACGTTTTCTAAACAACTTGCACAATGCTTTATTTAACAATTCTATAAGTAGGATTTGGTAGTTTTTCGTTCAAGTTTAACCTCCTATCTAGTCTTATTAAAATTACTAGAGAATATATTTTAATAACGAATTGACTAAACCAATATACGATTTTGGAATCACACTATTTAAAATAAAAACATTAATTCTTTTGGTAGATATACCTCTTCGTCTTTTACAGCAACAGTTCTTACGCAATCTACCTTAATTCAAATTTAATCAAATTTACATAAACGATTATCCAAGCACAGCTTGACTTGCAAATGTATCCAATCTTGAACCCAAAGTAACGAACGAGAAGTAGATTGTGTTATTTAGTCGGAATACCAATGGGTATTAATCTTATTATCACAGTCCTTGAGTTTGGAAAGCACTATCAAAGTTCACGATACAGCAACCAGAAACACATTAGGAAGTTCGATGCTTAACCGCAACTTGAAAAGTACTTTAAAGTGTTAGGTTATAATAAGTTTAATCCTTAAAAGATTTACAAGATTGGATGATCCTTAGTACGTAACGAGAATGCTCAACTTTCCGAAAATTGTATGAAACATTCTTGGTATATTTATTGTATTTTATTTAACATTAGAAGATATCAATATGGCAATTTCGACATTGATTCATATTCTGACATCAATCAATTTAGTTTGTCGGGATTTTCAATTACATTTAACAATGTTTATTCTTTTGTAAGTCTTTTGATAGATTTGTTTTGTTAAATGACATGTTGGGGGGGGGGGGTGTTTGCAGTTTTAATTATTGTCCACTCATTGTGACAATTTTGTTTTGTATTTAATTTGCCGTTGAAACTTTTATACATATATTTATTTGGTTATTTGTTTGATAGCTCATTGACATTCTAAGACTCATTGTTTTTTCATCCAGAATCGACTTTACTTGGCATTGAACCAGTGACCTTCAAGATTGACTCTGATACTTGGACAATATGTTCTCTGGGTAGTTGATTGGTAATTTGTGTGGGCTTCACTCGCCTTTGATGTCTTCTGTAGGTTTAATTACGGAAATTACCCATCTCATCCAGTGTGACAGTTAAAAATAATTCATCGTAGTTTATTAAGATAAACAATCTATCAATGTCATATCTGCCAGAGGTATAATGTTTTCCCTTAATTTTTGGGCTCCTGATGATATCGAAATGTTTTATAGATTTGCTGAATATTTAATTTCATAATTTTATAAAGTAGTGTTGATTAACAGCCTAACAAAATTTAATGATTCCAAAAAAAATCAATGTAAATAAAATTGCATTTTTTCAAATAGGAATAGGGATATTTTCGTAAGTTTTCCGTTTTTTTCTTAAGAGCCTTCATATAATATTTAAGGCTCTTAAGGAATTTTGTACTGTTTTATAACACAAATTTATTATCTTTCAGCATCATGAGTTGTGTGGTTAGTGCTTAGTATTGATCCAATAGATCTTCATTTTCACCTTTTTACTTGAAAACATGCGAAAAGATGTTAAATACCGGCCTTTTTTTATTATCACTTGAAGCAACACTTCCATACGTAGCCTTCAGAAAAGATTATTCCGATTCGTACTGTATTCTTTATAAATTCTATGTTTTGGAGCCAACACAATCCGAGGATATTTTCGTCAATAAAAATATATTCGGTGTAGGGAAAATTTTAAATTATTTATTTATTTTTTACAGCACGCTCATTGTCTAACACATCATAGTATTTTCTAATCCAAGGCCGTGGTGTTGTTGTGTGGCAACATCGCACTGCCGGCCTAATGCCATGGTGATATAAGTAATAAAACTGTAAACATTGCGCTATCGCTCCACCATGAGTAGAGCCGTTTCAGTAGGCCGGGGCTGCGGCGTTGCCACTTTTCTCCCCCCGCGGCCTTGTATTGGAGTAGGCTATAGCTAAATACCTGGACTCCCAAGTTGTTGTTTAGCCACACCATCGCCAGGGTCGCCAAGAAACCGAAGTCAGCTGTGGCTAAAGCTGCCAAGTAGTAGCTGGAACTCCGCATCTTCAGATGAGTGTTGAGAAACACCACACACGACAGCAGGTTGCCCACCTGCACATGTTGATATCAATCAATCAATCAATAAAACTAATCAATCAATGGATCAAACAAACCAAACTAATCAAATTAATCAATCAAATCAATCAAAAATAAAGTAGGTCATCGTCTTAGTTAGCAGTTAGTTTTGTATTTTCTTTATTTACCAACTTTTTATCTTTTGCTGACAATCCTTTTTGTAGCATGGACTGCAAAACGCCAGGACTACAATACTGTTTGTGCAATAATTATGTTTAGATTCAATCCAATTAGTTAATCGATCCCATGAAATGATCAGCGACGTACATTTAGTTACGTATTTTAAACTGAATTTTCATGCTGGGTAAGTGTATAATATAACGAGATGACCTGATTTGCTTCGGTAATGATTAAGATCAGCTGATCCATGGCCAGGGACATTTTTAAAACCTAATCAAGAAAAGCTGCAATATTGAGCTATCATTAAGCTACTGGCATTTCTTAGGATTAAACCGGTTAAAGAATACTTTGGGATTAAGCTGGTTATGTAAAAGTAATTTAGTTTTACCTTATTATACTCGTAATTAATTGTCTTTGTGCTAGTAAATGACCAATTATTAATTAATAACACAATAGGCAACATTGTCCTAAAATGTGCAATTATTCATCTGTTATTGTTTTCAACGATCTTTTATTATATCATTTTAGGCTTGTACATGTTGTTTATAAGAACCTAGAGTTCAAAATTACACTTTCCTTCAAATTCTGCTTACGGTTTCACCACGAATAATAGATCAGAAGCAGTTAAGATCGTATAAATAACAAAATTACACATCACCTAATATTACAAATTACCTTATAGATCACATGCAATGAAATACAGGATTTGGAATTTCCTCAAAACTTATATTATTTCACAATTTAATTGATTTGTTCATATATCTCTTGTGTGCTCACCAGGCCTATCAGGATGATTGAAGGTATGTAGTAGAGGTGGAAGAGATCTAGAAGGTCCAGTAGAGGGAAGCACTCGTCAGGCACCAAGTCGTGCTCGTAGTGGCGTCGCAACCACTGTAGGATCGCCGAGTGATTCCAGGAGCTGTTGAAGTGGGAGTAGTTCAACTCTAGGAAATGTTCGTAGTCCTCCATCTTACGGGACCAACATCTTAACGTTGTATGTCTGTAAAATACAAAATAATTATACTAACTGGACAATATTCTTTAATACTTTTACTTTTTTATTCTTTTCACTGAAATGGTGACCATACTAAGGTAGGTACTTTAAGCCAATTATGAATAAAGATGAGTGTAGGATGAGTGGCGCGATTTTTTAGTCTTGTTAGTGACTAAGGCCGCCATGTTAGACAGGACTGTTTATTAATAGCCCATACTAACAATGCCAACTAAGAGACCTACAGTTCTTGTGGAAACCGAAATTTTTGCGATGTAATTTATGAACTAGTTAGTCTAATTACTCGTATTACGATAGTACTGCGGAGAGTCGTAGTTCGGGCATCTAGTGCAGGCATTAATCCACACCAGGGAGTTATTAGAACAGCAACCGTATGGATTATAAACATAAAAAATGACATCATTGGCCCGGAAGTAAACGCGTTCTTATAATGATTTAGGTAAATGAAACTGTCAAAAATCATCTGAACAAAATGTTAAGGTTATTGGTTATTTGGTTATAATTTGTTATTTGACATTCAGGCCAGTGACGTAATTTGTTTACGTTTATGATCCATACATATTCTGTTACTAGCTGTTGTACCCGTACTTTGCAACGGGAAGAGAACACAAAATTGAAACATTTTGGTCTTTACATCTTTTGATAAAATAGTTACACATAAGCCTTTTAAAAAACCTTTATGGCCTTTATAGGATAGATGTCATAAATGTAAAAAAATAATAGTACTGCACCCTGTTGGTAAGCCTTGAAACTTTTTAATGCAATATCATAGAACCAACTTTTATACCTAGTTGAAACAGCTGACACAATTCTTTTATTTTTTTAAATATGATTATAGATAAGGTTAACATGGGAAACTTCAGAGCCACTGGGGTGGAGCCCGAAAGGACTTTTGAGATAAGAATGCGTCTATATGTTAATTGGGAATGTGAGCTATCATCATACCAAATTTCAGCCCAATTCCGACCAGTATTTTTCGCGTTTACTTGTCACAAACATACATCCATTCATCCATACATCCAAACTTTCTCATTTATAATATTAAGTAGGATAATTTCCGTAGGTGGATTTTATAATGCCTATAAATTTTCTTAAATGTGACCGCATTTTTCAGTTTGCTGTAGTGGTTACGATAATTAGTTTGGATTATTTTAGATTAGTTTATGTAATGGTAATGACAAACATGACACTCATATAATATAAACAAATTGTTTGGATTTAGTGTAGTGCATAAAAGAAACCATTTGGATATACAGGGTGATTTGTACTCAGTGTGACAAAATTTTTTTGGTGTAATTACAAAGTAAATGAAGTGTGATGATGCATATCAAATGTTCCAAGTCTCAAAATTAGCGTCCCAAAAAATTATTTTATGTTTTTCAAAAATAACCATGTTTTTAAAATTAATACAGCGATTTCTCAATTAACTGTATATGGATTTGAGTAGATAATGTCATTTTCGTGTTCTACATTAAATTTTGAACAAGAATAATACGAAATGACAGAAGATGAGTTGTAAAAACTCCATTGTAAATAGATTCAAAGATAAAAATTAAGATGTTAGATAAAAAGTTAAAAAAACAATGGTCTATTGCATTTTTCACACCCTGTATACAAGAAAGTGTCGGAATATGTTAAAAACTGCGCCATTTTATAAGCTTTCCAACGATATGCTATACTATTGAGGTTTATGTCTGCTTATGTACGCTTTAATGGTTTGAAGACTGCAAAGCATGGTGTATTTAACATTTAAAACATAGAAAGTCGGCATGTATTAAGCAATAGTTGTATTTTTGATTCAGCTTGAACAGTAAAAACAGTAAAAAGTTCCCTGTTTTCTGGTATTCAAACCACTCTTACAAACAAAAAAATATCTAAACCTCAATAGTGTAGCATATGGTTGGAAAGCTTATAAAATGGCGCAGTTTTTAACATATTCCGACACTTTCTTGTATACAGGATGTGAAAAATGCAATAAACCATTGTTTTTTAACTTTTTATCTAACATCTTAATTTTTATCTTTGAATCTATTTACAATGGAGTTTTTACAACTCATCTTCTGTCATTTTGTATTATTCTTGTTCAAAATTTAATGTAGAACACGAAAATGACATTATCTACTCAAATCCATATACAGGTAATTGAGAAATCGCTTTATTAAGTTAGAAAGCATGGTTATTTTTGAAAAACATAAAATAATTTTTCGGGATGCTAATTTTGAGACTTACAACATTTGATATGCATCATCACACTTCATTTACTTTGTACTTACATCAAAAAAATTTTGTCACACTGAGTACAAATCACCCTGTATATAATCTCTTTACGTGTTACAAACATGGCAAATATTGTAAATGTTCCTTTGTTTGTCATTATAATAGACTAAGGTTACCTAACCTTACCAAACCGCAGTAACGCGAAAAAAATAGATGCAAGCGTCTGAAAAATATGTAAACAGGTTTGGTAAAATAATGCTAACACATTGAAGTATACTTGGACTCATGCCTGCAACCAATGTTTGTGATAAAAGTTATGGTCACGTAACATATTTAGGTAGACTCGCACTCGTGCCTGTTCAATATGTGTTCTATGAAAACAAAGCTAATGTCAAACATTCAAATACATTCAAGTTCTTGCCTCTAACATGTAAAATATGTAAAATGTAATACTGATATAGCACATTTAATTGCACCTGAAATGTTCAATTGTTGCGTTATATTCCACATTTTATTACAATTTTTGTTCTATTGGTAATTGAGCTTTTTGTTCCCTCGTGTATTAGTTAGCTCACTTAATTGAGGGATGGTTCAAATACGTAAACAAATAAATATGTAATTACATCTAAGCTTGACATTTTTATGAACATAAAAGAAATATAAGAAATATATAATTTTCAAAATAAAAATAGGGGAACGCTGCTAAATTTCAGAACGCCTTTACTTTTAAATTATCACCTTAGATATTAGGTCATTACACTCTGGCATTCCGCTAAAAGACATTAAATTTAAGTTTTCGAGAATTTAATCAAGGTTTATGTATAAAAAAAGTTTTTCAAGTTTATTTTAAGCTATCGTTATTTCTATTCACAAAGTTGAGTTATCGAATTCATTTCAGTACATGTTGGTTAGATGTCTTGGTTAATACATTTGATCAAAATGTTACCGTAACCATCGATTTTTTACGAGAGGTTTCTTACATATACATATACACATAATAATTTTACTATAAGAATTGTAGGCTGTTAAAGACATATTAACGAAAAAAGGACCCTGTCAGATGTAACGCCTACCTATAACACAACGGAAATAGCTACTTCCCTTGAGGAATTAACCCTAGAATTAGACATGTAAAATGAGCCCTTTTCCACATTCAAATTGCGCTTAAACACTGAAATGCCGTCTTTATTCATTCAGTTTAAAAAATTGTTCAGTTTAAAAATATCATGCGATTCAGTTGTGGTTTTTTGCTTTCTCCTCCCATACAAAGTAAGCCTATAGAAAAAGAAGGAATAGTTTTGGTCAAAACTTTCGAGTGAAAATTTGTTTTGAGTCTACCTACCCCTAAAAAGGTGGTTTTCGAAGTGATATCTGTGTGTGGATATGTACAGAACTACCGATTTTTATAACATTTGGTATGTGGGTACTCATCAATGGTAAATTCAGGTGTATTTTTCATTATTAATTTTTTTATTTATTTTTCCATAAAACCCCATAAAATAACAGAAAAGTCTTTTTTTACGGATTTTACGATTGATTTAAATGTAGTATGTTATAGTCCGTTTATAGGTAAACAAAACTGTGCAAGCACCATTTCCGTATAAATCAGGTTATCAAAATATATTCATAATCACGATTTTCACATGATTAGAATGGAAATTTAAATTGATGATATTTGGATTTTTTCCCAATAATTATTATATGTACAAAAACACGTTAATGTACTAAATAGTTTGTGTTTTTTCGCCCTGCGTCATGGTTTGGAAAGAATGTAAATACAATTTTGTACGTTTTAGCCCTTTTAATTCTGAATGTTTGTCCTACTTCTGGATCTTGATTTAAATTGATAGATAATATTTCCATTACTTTAAAGTATTCTTGAATGTCTGGTCAAACTACATGTTTCATGGGTGACTGCAACATCTTCATGTTTATCTTCTTCAAAGATTCGTCATAATAAATACAATTTTAATCTTGAAATCATTTTTATATTTTCCCTAAATAAAATAGCACAAATATCTGGACAGAATTTAGTTATTTTTTTTGTTTTTTTTTTTTAGGGAGAGGAGGTAAAAATGCTTTTACGCACACAGGTAGCCAGCCTGTAGTGTGAGACTCCTGAGCTTGTCAGACTACTCACTAAAAAACCCCCTCTACTCTGTTGGACACAGACCTGGGATTGTTTGTCACATTACTTCAGGTCAGGTCAACGTGTGACCTAAGCTCTCAGGGCTCGCGCCGTTTCTGGCATTCAATTTCTTTCTGACCTAGACTGCATCTCGGTCAAGCTCTAGCTTCTTTGTGCGGAGAATATCCTGGACGAAATGTGACATATAGGTCCAATTGTCCTCACCATCCGTCATCATCGGAATGACCGTGTCCATCAACAACTGCCCTACATGTTGTTCAGCCTCCAGGCGGGAACCTTCCCAGAAACCCGTGACCTGTCAGAAACTGGGTAAGGTAATAGTCCACCTCACAGCAACCACCAAGATTCAGACACTGTTCGGTAGGCGGATGCGGACAGAATTTTGATTGATAAACATCGGTATAACTAATAAATTAAAAGCACTGGTGGTAAAAGATTAATCATAAAAAGAACTTCAGCAACAGATTTAAAGTGAATTTAAAAACTACTATCTTCGTTAGCAAAGAATTAAACATTTTAAATATTCTATAAAATATGACAATGAATACCTGAACGAAATCTTGTTTATTAATTCCCTTGAAGTATCCCTTTATTAAAGTTGTTACTGTTTATATAATTTTCG